GTAGGTAGTATATATATATATATATATATATATACAAACAGTAGCAAGATTTATAGGCTTGAAACGACAAAGCACTTCAAAAGAGACTGTACAAGGCTTTTTCTAGTTCCTATTTGGGGCTGAACTGGCCCCATTTTTTCATTACTACAAATATGGGAAGAAAAAATCCCAAAAGCACTGTTACTAAAATAAGTGAAAAAAAAATAACCTACATAAAATCTTTATTAGAAAATAAAATAAATATTTTACTCTTGAAACTATAAAAATCTGTTTCATTTTATACATCTCTAACAGTATAACATTTGATTTTGCAACATTATAGCATTTCGCAACACCTAATAAAAAATATATTACAACAGCAAGTATAACATGAAGAAAACATCATAGAATTATGAGTTTCAGTGTAAACTAAATGACAAATTGAGTAGTACTAGTAGTAGTAATATTCTGAACCCACATGTTGGATTTGACAGACCTAAACATTTCACAAGCTTCCAATAATGCAAATTTTGACAGGTCCTTCATCATCTAAAAAAGCACTCAGTGATGATGATAATGCAGAATTATTGAGTTTTTTTATTGTTTACTTTTACATATATCAAATTTTCAATTATGAGCAAAACAAGCAAATTCCCAATTTACAAGGGTTCATTTACAACATTTACAAACTTGCTCTAGAACCAGAAACCATGCAAGATCCAAGTAGGTTAATATCATTACATATAAAGACTGAATAAACTGATGCAAGTCACTAACCTGTAATATGTACTTTCAAGGCATCTGAAAGCTCTTGGTGAGTATTGTGAAAAGCTACACGTGAATACCAATGAGTGAGATTTTTGTTCAGGCTGGCCACAAAACCACCAGCTGAACGTCCTTTCTGAGAAGAGTCATGATAAGTATCATAGCCAATCACCATCAAGCTGGCTAACTGTAATAAAGTTAGTCTCATATTAATTAAAAGTGCCAATTACAAATGCTGCAAAGTAAAAAGCTTATACTACATTATCTTATATTTCAAACATTGGTACATATTATACTAGTACTTTATATGTACCGAGAGACTTCCTTCCAAAGTATTATTCTACATTATTTTTGTAGTATCAATAACAATTGTCGCTTCAAAAACAGAAAAATACAACTTTCATGATCTTTTAGTTTTGTCAAAGCCTTGAAAACTATAAAATCAAAAAATGAGTAAGAAAAATAAAAACAAAAACACCACCAAAAAAACGGCATGCACACATATAAATAAATGTCCCCAAACAGAAACTTACATGGACATATTTAGTTCTTCATACAAAACTGGTTTTATCTAAACTAAGGGTACAATGTAGTTCTTTTTCATACATGTGTTAAATACAACCTCATTTTGAAGTTGTTATTCACAGCACTGAGGTAATTTCATGGAAGTGAGAGGTATCAGAATCAAAATACATCTCATGTTCTCAACAAGGAACCTCATTATAACTCCTATAACAACAATATTACAAGTACCTTAAATTATTTTTAGAGTAAAGTCTTAAACTTTAAACACTTAATAGTTTTTCCCCACAATATTTTTAGCATTGCACCAATAAGGGTTCTATAGTACCATAAAATTACACAAACATTGAATGACTAGTAACTGTATATATATATTTGCAGTTTTGCATTAAGAACTGAAATTATGTTGGTGTTAACTTTTTAAATTTGATTTTTATTCTTACCGGAATGTCTAATCTCCAAGGAACACCACCCATCTTACAGTTGAGCTGCACACCAATCTTAGTGGCCACACTCATCAACATCTGCTTCTTGCTCAAGGTTCTGGCAACAACAACTTGTGATGGAACTAAAAAAGAATTAAAACAAGTTATTCTCTACCATATACGACTCTACACTATGGTAATCATAACTGTGATAGCACTATTTAAAGAAAGAAGCAAACTTATTCTCCACATATATGCCAATTATGACTTGGTATGGCTTTGAGAAACAAGTGAGGATTAACAAAGTTTAAAAGATTTATAAATATTGCTAAGTATTACCCATTATTATGGCATTATTCCTTTTACTAATTTTAAACCAAGAAACAATATAAAACAACACCCACAGATGGTTGTTTACAGTTTAGTTTAAATGAAATATCCAAACATCTTTCTCTTGGACATCCACAAGAACTTTGATTACACACATTAAAAGCCTTGGAGCACCTTGTTGCAATTATTTTTAATTCTGCAATTATAAAAGCATGGAAAAAAATGTTATCATTTCAAAGAGAGAAATATTTATAGTATTTAACTGTACTGGTAAAAGAAGGAAAGATCATTCCAGGAGGAAGAAAATGGATTTTCTTAATAGTCACACACCACAGGTAGTGAATAAAGTTAAAAAGCTTGTTATCAGATGTAACCCATGAGCACAGAGTCCCATAGTCATTAAAGAAGGAACAACTCCCTTGGAACTGTAAAAAGATAATTCCTACAGATTTAAGATTACAAAAGCAATAACATGTTTCATCACATACTTCTAAAAAAAACCACTTTGTTGAATGAAAGATCAACTATCAAAAGCTGTAAAAGAAGTATATGGCATGTGATAAAAGAAAATATTTCATCATATCGGGAGAAGCATATATCTACTTTAAGCTACTGGAACAAAGGCCTGGCAATTCATTCTCATCCTACCAGTAATAAAAGTCTTAAGAAAGGGTAAAGAACACAATGCAAAAACGTTTTGAAGGAATTTATGATGATCACAGGCTACAGATATAATGGTTATTTAAACATCTGGAGAGTTTAGAAAATTGCTAAAAGAATTTTGCATGCTACAAGATTGTGTTAACACCATTTTTGTATAGACTGCAAGGTACAGTTCCAACAGGATAAAAGCATCCACTAGATGACAGTACAAACACAAATTCATGCTATACTATTTACACACTTGTCCCATAGCCTTTGCTGGATAACTATTGGTCAAAATGTTGGAGTCAAATGCCTTTCAAACGTTTGCTTATTTAATCCATTTTTTCATTGTAGTAAAACTCTAGACTCAGTATTACACCACACAACAAGTACTTCAGTAAAATCAAAGTACCCTAGGTCTGGTCTGTTGATCACAATGTGTATAATTTTGTTACTTGCACGTTTGCTTAATAGGATACCATCTTTTACCATCCAGTAGGTTACTTTCATAGCAACATTAACTGCCTTTTCTTACCCTTTCATTACAGGTTGGGTGGATTCCTCCCAGCTCATAAACACGAAAGTATCCAAGAGAGTAATTATACTATGACTTTTGATAATGTATGCACATCTTTACAAATTTTGCAGGTTATTGGTAAACATTACAAGGTTTCTGTACACAAAATACCAGGTTTTCAAATTTAGTATTAAGATTTTTAATTAAAGATTTTCTCGTAAGCTGATATTGACAAGGTAGAATATAAAATAAGAACATCTTATCTTTTCTATTTTCTAAAGTATCACTCTTGTAGTGAATCAAATACAGTGGCCCCCCAGCCCACCTCTTTCCATTTTTTGAAACGATCCCTTATATACACTTCTATACATGACATGAACAACCAATCGAAAGCTCACAATGTCCCCTAGTTGTTTTCTCAGCTATTTTTATGTGTTAATCTCATTCTTTTCCCACAAGATTTCAAACAATAAGGTAAGTCATTAGTTTCATACCCCCACGTGCAAATTTTAAAAGGCTTAGCAAACTACATCAAGCAGCAACCGAGTACAAAGGTCATAACTAGAAGAGATAATTGTTTGCTTTACTTCTTCAGTTACTGTTCTATGTTTTAAGGAAAATAACTGTAGAGTTAACTTTTTTATTATTATTTCAAAATAGCAATAATCTATATACATATATAATGTATAATAAATGAAATGTGACTGTATTTTACAAAATACTAGTCGACTAAAACATATCTGAGACAAGTTACTTTGTACAGACCAAAAGTTATCTTTATGTTCTTTGATATAGTAACATGAGTGCACGTGAGCAGCAGCATTGTAACTTCTGTATTGTTAACCAGGCATGGCTGAAATATCAATATAATACAAAAATATATAAATGTATAACGTTATGAGATTTAACTCTTTCAGCACAGGCTTGGTCCTTGAGACCGACCTCGTAACTATTTTGTGCTTGTTATAGTTTTCATGTAAATTCTAATTATACACGCAAGACACTTCATACACAGAATTAGACCTACTAACAAAACATCATACTACATTATTCCTACACCATCATGATACAGATTTGTACTAATAGATAGAAGCTACAGTAAGTGGCACAGACAAATGCAACTGTATGCAAATATGTCTGTCACTGACAGTGATAGTAAATTGACAAACAATTCAATAAGCATAATTAAAATTATTTTATATAGAGAATATATCATATGTTTCAAAAGAGCTCTGGTCTATCAGATAAATGTCCTAAAAAATAAATGTGATGCTCAATCTATCATTAGATTTACCATCTGCCACCAAGTTATACCAGTTTTAGGGATTCCACCCATGATCAGTCAATCTGGATGAGGGCAAACAAAAATAATAAGACTAGGTTTCATACAGTGGGAGCATATAACACAAGTATGGTATTTTTTTAATATTTTAAACAGCTTGTTTTTTAAAATAATTCACAAGAATGAATCAGTATCGTCAATGATGCATATTCTTGAAATTCTTATAGAAATATAGGACTACCGTGTGAGCAAAATATTTCATAACAGATCTGTACACAAAAAATCAGATGTGTCACAAAAGTGTCTGTACTCAACATCTCTGTGGATTGCAAATCAGTCTGACTTGAACAAGTCAGCATGCAAGGTGGTGTTCATGTGAAGAATAAAAATACCTTACAACACTCAAAGGTACTCGCTTGGTGCTTGAAAGATTCGAGGTTTGGGCTCATAGATGTGGGAATTTTCGGTGTTTCAGTATGATAATAATCATGGTTTTCAGGGCACTGTCAAATAGAATTGGGTCATGAGCCCCGTGTGCCAATGTCTAGCAATGCTTCCAACACCACTCAAGTGCCAAGTTTTTCATTTTGTTCTTATATACACCTACACCTTGACAGAACGTGGTCATCTGGATCTAATAACACTACCATGTAATATGCAAAGGAGCATTACATTGAAGACAATTTAGACACTTTGCTATTCAAAAGTCATCAAATGATCATAGAAGCATGTTGCTTTTGTTTTTCTGATGGCCTTTTGTTATACAGCTGAAGCAAGAAACTGCTACCATTTATGCTTCTTTGTTTTTAAAAATGGGGTCCAAACAATATGTTATATCTGAACTTGCATTGTATTCAAGTGTTTAGTTGAGGTTCAGGTGTAATGTTGTTTATTACGTTAAATAAAAAACCCCTACTAAATATAACATTTGCTAAAAGTATGCACATTATATTTATTATGGTATGGCTCTTGAAACTGAACATAATGAAAATCACTACCATAATGCCCATACTAGCATAACACAATATCCATAATGATTAACATTTCCATCTCAAGAGCATACCATGGTCCAAATGCCTGCAGTTGCATACTAACAAAATTATCAATACAATTCTGTGAAGCTGTGCATACTCACCTTAACTTTCAGTTTTTATTCAATCCTGACCATAGCATATAAATGAGACTTTTGATAAAATGTCTGCATGAAGTAAAGTGTTGCAAGTTCTAAAGGTGATTTTCCCCTATAAAGTTCTTTATTCACTGAAGCAAAATGGGTCAATTAACACAATGCATTATAGAAAGCTACTAACTTGATCAAAACAAATCTTTTTTTTACTAGTGCATAGGTGTGTATTATTAGCACTGCAAGCGGTAAATTTTCCTAATACATTACTCAGACATGTGTAGCATTAAATTATGAATTATTAAGTAAACAGGATGTATTCAGTTATTCACTGGTGCAGGATCAACTGTTTCCACAAAGATTCATGGATATAAAGTAGCACCATATTCTCAGAAACTCCTACACGTGCTATGTTAGTTACTGTCAATGGAACATTTTATATTCACTATTTCTTTAATTTGATATCTTCCAAAACTTATCCCTAAACTACTGATATTATACACTGCCATACAAATTTTCCTTTACATACAGGTTTACCTCAACTGTCGCTGGCAATATTTTACCTGTCTCTTGGAGATTTTGCTTGTTAGTGACCACAGCCCAAACTGTAAGCATGCATCATGACAATGGATGCTGTAGGTAATGCTTAATTATGTAAGTTTTGTTTTGTAACAAATTGAAACAAAATTATTGATAAATTATTCTATGACTAAATAAATAAAAAGCAAAGATATGAAATAAAAAGAAAACTTCACCAAAACTGTGCAGAAATTTTCTATCTTTGAGTTGCCAGGCTTCTCTACACAAGTATGTCAATGACATAATATATCCAAGGTATTGCAAGTGTTCCTTCTATGATTAATGAAATGGGGATTGACTATTTTATTAATATACTAAAATTTGTTAGATCAAAATAGCTTAATTAATGTAAATAGCCTACATCTAAATAATAATTTGTTAAGAGCTTCTAGGCAGAAGAGAAAGACTTTTTTCAGAGCTCTTAGATGCTGTTAAGGTAGGAATCTAGCTACTGTTTACATAATCTATCGCAGCTGCTTTCATACTCCATAACAATTAACACCAAGCAAAAGAAAACAATGTTTATGCATAAAATATATGTAATGACATGCTAAATGCACTATAATTAACCTGTACTTTATTTTTTGGCATTAATGTCTGTTTTCTTTTTTTTTACTATCCTTGTCATAGAAGTGTCATTGTATACCAAGAAATTCATGGACTTTTCCAAATTTTTTCTATAAAATGAAATTCCCTCATGTTTTCTAGGTCAGGAATTCGAAATATAAAATTCACCAACTTTTCCCAGTTTCCCTGACTCGTGGGAACCATGATACAAAGCAATTTCAAAACAACTCAAAAATAGTCGTATTTTTGAATAACCCAATATTTTGCAAGCAAATTATCTGGGAATATCATTTGTAATATTAAATATATTTCCTCATGATTTATATGAATGCTTGGATGTAATTTTGAGAGACCAGATAATTTTCAGTTACAAATGATCCATTAGAACTTGAATTGCAGCAGAAATCTAAGGCTGATTTATGTCTCATAGAAGTCTTAATGTTAGCTGAAAAGCACAATTTTATATTTTTTTGGCAAGTTGTACAAGTTTACACCAATGCATGCAAGATTTTACTTCCAACTTGTTCATGTTTCCTACTTCATAAGATTTTCAGAAAATCTACATTCAGTTTTCTGATTAAGTCACTTAGTAACCAGTCTTATGTTAATTTTTTTTTTAGCCCCATCTTCTTGAATACACACTGACCTGGCATTTTTACACTCTAGCCCTCCACTCAAAAATACTCACTAGGATGCATTTCTCTACTCTCATAACTGCTAACATTGGTTTATATGTTTTGTTAAATCTTGTTATACAGTGCGGTGTTTAATAATTTCTTATACATTTTATTTTACAAGGGTCAGTGTTAGACTTTTCATCACATTTAGTTAAACTTCATTTACAGCCAACTGCAACATGCTGCACAATTCTGTTTATATACATATATATGATTTAATGAAAATGACAATGTTTTCACTGTAAATAAGCACAAATTTGCCTCTCTTTTTACTAGATGTAAATGTAATAATTATCACAATGACCACAAAATGTCAAACACAATATTACGTTAATAAGTTTTGTATGTTAAACATACTAATACTGTCATAATTTTTGTAATAAATGTAAACTGAAGAAAGTTTTGATTTTACTACCAGTTTTAAGATATTTTATTCACTATGACATTCAACAATGTATTAAAATTATTTATAAAGGAATTTTGTTGTTTTTTTTACACAGAAAACACTAATTTTTAACACATAAAGCAATGCTTTTGGAGTTAATTTTCAACAAATTCTGCAAAACACCCACAATCTAACCTACACTTTTAGTATGCTTCACTCCATGAAAAACAGTTGCGAGCTATCACAAGAACTGTGCTTCAAAACATTTACAACACCACTTTTAGCAAAACATTATCAAAAATTCAGCTGGGATTGGTAAAACTAAGAAGCCAAGATAGAAGGCATTTCAATTCCATGTACAAGTAATTTACAATAACTTTTTTAGGAATCCAAAAAATCTTGCAGGATTTCAAGGACAGGAATGTTTCACAGCAAAATTCTGGCATTTTCCTGGTTTTTAATTATCTATATAAACTGGGGCTATAGACCACAAACGTTCATCATTTATTACCATCCCTCTACACAGAACAAACCACATTGTGTGATGAAAAACAAGTGACAATTTAAAATCATACCTAGTTATTCTCTACAGATGGTGCTATACATTACTTATTGTTCTCTATCTAATCACAAAAACAAGTACAACATAATTCAATACATTCCTACTTTTGTGAATGCCCTATCAATTTCTGATACTAAATTCATGAACAAAAAATGTACACCAAAAGAGCTTTTTTACCTGGCATGTCAATACACGCTATTTTTTTTATAGCATCATATCTATCTTTTCTGTTATTTGGCACAACTATAAGGATCATTTCTGTTTCTGGTCCAATACCTTGACGCATAGCACCAATGAAAGAATTGATTCGGTCATCATCAATGGTTATCCTAGGTACAAGAAAAGAAATGAGTATACCACCATATACTTTCTCATTTCAATATCAAGGCTGCTATATACTATCCACTATCAAGTGCATCACATTCCTTGTCTCGATTTAAGTGTTGAAGCAAGCAGCCTTACCTTTGAATTGCTTCTAGTAATTTAACTGGTATTAGTCAAACATTTTAGAAGAAAAATCCTGATAATACATTAACAAGTTTAAATAGGTTAGAAAAATACTTTTAAACTTATAGTTACAAGGAAATAGAGGGTAAAGAGACAAGCTTGAACAAAATCTAGCACAGGAGAAATCTTCAATACAACTCTATGCATCTTGCTATTTAGTTCACAAACATTTTACTTACACTTCTGGAGCATTCACACGCATTCCCATTGGTGGACAGACACGCTTCAGAGACTGCAAGAAGTCTTCAAATTTAGGATAGTCTCTTCGGCTTACAACAACTGTCCAGATTCTCAGGTCTCTACATAACTCCATTGGCTTTCCTCTCATTTCTCTAGAAAAATCAGCTGTCCTTGGGTCATAGGTACTTGACTGCTCAGCTTGTACAATTCTCTCGGTATTAAGCACACGTGCTTGAATTTCGACAAGGGCATTGGAAAACTCCATACCCCAGCCTCTCATATCTTTCCTGACATCCGGATTACTGTGTTGTTACAAAAATAAAATTAAATGTAAATTAAAACACATCTTAGCTCTAGTGAAATTAGAAAATACTTTGAGAAAAGACATCTTCTTTACTTAACAAAATCTGAATTCATATTTTAGTGCTCCGGTCTTATAAATCATGATTTACTATAAAAAGTTAACTAGATATATATAAAAATTTATATTTTAACTCCTATTTACAATCACAACTATGACATGATATAACAATTTCATGGTAGGAATGTTTTTCAAATGAAGAGTCTAATTTTTCATCTATTAAATTTACAGTTTTCTTAGTGTCATCAACATGAGAAACTTAGACTTTTGAATAAGAAATGGAAGAGTTTTAAAATGAAGCCAAACTTAGTAACTTCCAAGAATAGCTTAAATGTGTTGATTTAACACATCTTGGACTTATGAATAAGAAAACTTAATTTTACAACGGAAACAAATTTAAGTGTTGTGCTATTTATCCCCAGTGAAGGAAAGTGCACTTTTTGAAAGTGATCAGATATATTTTCTGATCCTAACTTCTTTTCTTTATCCTTCATACTTATTACATTCAATGCTTTGAAAATAGTTTAACTATAGAGTCAATTGTATTGGTCATGTTGCTGACTAGATAGAATGATATTACTGAGTTAAAACACTCAGAAATCTTCAATGTATTAATTTCAGAAACACCTACACGTTTCATTTCTTAAAGCAGTATACAACTTCATTCTATAAATTCACTTCAACTACAGCAAAAAGTAATAATTAAAGCTAATTACCTCTTAACTCTCTGGATAAATGTTGACAGATTTTCAACACGTTTACTGGGAGGCAATCTAGTATAGGCAGCAAGATCACGCATAACATTAAAGTCTGACCTCATAGCTTCTGTCAATCCTGAAGTAGATAGAGTAAACTGATGTTTATAACAAGTTTAATCTATGAACATTTAGAACGTTCCTACATTTGTTGACACTTATTTTGTACAAGTTTGTAGATACAGATTCATAAGGAGATAAGATATTACAATCATGTCTAATAACATATCCTTTGCTCATCTAATATCCCTTTCACTGAAAACAAAACAATTAATGAACAAAGACTTTCTAAATAATGTTCAATTTTGAAAGATTTACACAATCTGAAAAAACTATACAAGTTCCTTTTAAAAAAAACTTGCATTTTCTGACACTGAAAGTTAATAATTGTTACCAAGTTAATGATTTTCATAAAAGAACTCAACCATACCATACCTATATTCATTTTACAAACAATGTGTTCACAATTATTACTATCTTGGCAACTCAGAACATGTTTAATTACAAATACAAAGAAGAATCTTTTAGTGTTATAATCTGAGGTCATTCTAGAATGAAAAAAACATTATTTAAATTTATTGCCTAAGGCTGGTCAAATTGACCATAGAGACCTCATAGAGTTAGGGTACAGAAAAAAAATAAAGTTTTACTGAAAACAAACATTTGAAATGTATTTAGGAAGTTTTAGAGATTACACAAATAATATTTGAGTTTTTTGGGACAAACAATAGTTTTTTAGTTATAACACGAAAATCACTTCACACTTGGACTGGTAACGAAATAGACTCAATATTTTCACAAACAAATTTATAATAAAAATACTTCATTAAAAATCTGATTTTATGTATACGAAAGACTTGTAATCTTTACTAATTTTCTGAATAATACATTTACTGCATTAAAAGTTATAGTATAAAAACTTGTGTATATTATACCGAGATCACTGCGAAAAAGTTAATTGTGATTGTTTGCAAAAAAATCATAATGATTTCTTTACCTAACTAAATACTTTGAGTAAAATCAATAATAATAATAATGTGCAAAAATAAATTAAAAATTTGCTAAAGCTATTTTAATCAAAGCAAAACAGGGTACATTGCTTCTGCTTCTTGCATGTACTTTGCATGACATTTGAAGTTTCCAAAACAAAATTCCCTACCTTTTAGTGTCCTGATATCTGCTGTGTCAAGTGTTGCTTGCAGCATATTCTGACTTTATTATAGTTCGATTTAATGAAGAATTAATTTATTCTCTTCTCGTTGCAACACAATGTAAATGAAAATTTACCATTACCAAACGTGTTTGTAAAGTAATCGTATAGCTGAATTTTGTGAGTACATGCAAGCAAAGCAAAAGATATGATTGAAGCAAGCCTATTTAGTTGACGGAGTGTATGCACATGTTCAAGAGAAAGCACCAAAAGAAACAGAGGGAGGGAAAGAGCACAAGTGAAGACTCCACCAAGTTTTTAAATCGTTTAACACATAATTGATCATGAATAGAAGTCCTCACGCAGAGAATAAATGTAAATAATACCACCACAGAAAATCCAGCCCTTTTAATTTGAGACCAATTGGTCATCCTGTTTGTCAAAAATTGCTGCTATGTTGGTCACTTTGGCCTCAATTTGCAACCTGAAAACAGCCTCTGAGGCAGCAGCCACATAGCCCATGTTACTTCCTACACAAAGTTATATTTGTACCTTTAAAGATGTGGTAGATGAAGATGACTTGCGCGTGAGTTGAATTAAAGTGAGGGAGAGTTTTGCAGCATCAGCCTCACTCTCCCATCCATACACATCAGGCACCAGTGGCAAGATCTGGTCAAGATGATTGGAAGATGAGTCACAATGCAGGAGCTGCTAGAATGATGACAGAGTTTGTCATCAAACTGCCTTAGGGTGCTCCACTTTGTATTTTATGTCAGGGTTTACTCCCTTAGAAAGATGTGGACATGCATAAGGAACAGAATCACAGAGAGAGAGACATTTGCGCTTATATATAGACAATTTTGAAGGAATGTATGTAATAACAGACTATTAATCATTATTGCACTGACCAGAAAAGCGATTACCTAAAATGTTAACTTAATGTCAACTATTTTAGAACCTCATTTGCCTATCTTCTATAATAAGCACAAAGAAAATTAGTAAAAATTAGTTATGAATTTCATGTTAGGTTAAGTTAATCTATATATATTTATTTTTAAACATAAGTTACTTGGTAATTACAATGAGAAATGCAAACTTACCTGTCAAACAGCAAAGTTCAGGTATGAGATAGATATTCTGAGTCCTACCAGCACGAAGATCTCGTTTACTTGGCTGACATACGAGAAGTGGTTGTTTTTGATCCTTTATTCTAATCTCATAATGCTTCAAAACAAAATTCATTATTACCCTCATGCAAAACAATATACTTCAAAACTCTAATGAAAGAATGTGTACCATTAAGAAGCAATTTTACCTAAAATAATAATTACAATCTTTTAGAAGGTCTAGCTGTTTCAAATTAAAGTCACAGTAATACTTGTTAATTAACTTTACAGTACAATCTGATCTAAGCTGTTTGAATTTTGTAAATTTAAGTAGCTTTAGGCAGCAAATATAATAAATACATGTCAAAAATAGTTGTTACAAGTGACCATACAACACATTAAGGAAATATTTAATAGGCATTTACTTTTTAAAAACAGTAGCTAATTTAAGTGTCATTCCAACGATACGACAATATATTCAAATCTCCATTACTGTCCTAATTTGGCTACAGAGATGAAATTTTAGGTATTAAAAAAAATGTGCCATTAATATGTTGAACATAGCAAAAATTTGTGACTGTTGAATCTTCTAGTTTTTATTTCAATATTCACTTTGATAAAACAAATTGACTTTTTACCAAACTGTAATTATTTTAAGATGGTGGAAGTCATAAAATTTCCTGCCTGCACTAATACAACTATTCAGTGGACAAAACTAAACCCCAAATCTGTAAACTTTACACCTGTTCGAAGCTTGTTTTTAGTTCACTGTTTGAAAACAACAAGTTTTGAAGTTAGTCAAGATCTGTAAAATTGAACTATCCAAAATTTGTTTTACAATTTTCAAGTTTCTGAAGCCAATAAAAATCATAAATCAAGTGTCTGAAAAGTGATTATTTTTCTTTCCATCTATTTGCCATAGAGCTATCTATGTTTAATTAGTCTTTGTTTTTGTTTAATTACTGTACAAAGTGAAGTTTTCAAATTTATTACTTTTGAGACACCATGAGGCAATGTGGAGCTTTTGTCTTGTAAATTAGTAATGGTATTTATTATTTGTATGCCACAGAAAGGTAATGAATTATCTTAATGATTTTCTCCCCATTTTTTGGTTTGCTGAAGCTATCGCTTATTTTTGTTGAATTTTAAACAAAACTACTTGAGGAATGTCTTTACTAGTCATCCCTAATTTTTAAGTGATTAGAGAGAAGGCAGCTAGTCAACATCATCCACTGGTATTTTGTGGTTATTCTTTACCAACAATTATTGAGTCTGATCATCACATTATAATACCTCAGGGATGAAAGAGCAAGATAGTATGAATTTTTTTTTTTTATCTCATAACCTGCCTGTTGGGAGTTGAACATGCTAACCACTAAGTCATGCCAGTATACCTGCCACCAAATTTTTAAGTAAGGAGTTAACACAACTGCACAACCTAATAATAAGTACCTTAAGATAATAATCCATGTAAGTTAGTGGTCCAGATTTTGTCTCAAATGTATCACATGGGTTCTTTTTCCAAGCAATATCATCCACACGATATGTTTTATTATTATATCTAAAGAAAGAAAAAAACAAAAAAAAACCCTTGGTAAGAAAAAACAGACTAAATCTAGAACTCAGTTACTTACACAAACATAGCTACAGATCTTATTACATGAAATCAAGTAGGGAATGGTGAAATTTTCTGCAGCTTTCTTCAGACTGTTTTTTTCTTTCAAATGCTCAAAATATATCAAGTTTTAAAGTATCACATTAATGTCTTTAACCATAACTGCAAGTTATTTATATGAAACAAAAATTAAATTAGCCATAGCAAGTTAGTTTAGATTCTTAGATAATAAATTCTTGTATTTTTCAAATTAAATGTAAGTTATGCAGTCATTATTCCTACACAAAACCAGTATAAAAATCTATTTAACATCTTCTTCAGTGATTCACACTAGAGTAAAATGTAAACTATCTCTGTCAGAACTAAATGGGTCAGTAACAAATATAAACTTCTGTTAAACCCCTTTTCCTCAAGAACTGCATTTTGAGATAAAGTACAACAAAGATACTCTGTTTGGAAAAAATTAAGTCTTAAACATTTGAAAGTAAATTTTACTTACAATATGAATATTAAAATGGTTTCTAAGCAAAAATGTTTTATACAAATTGTTCAATAAAGAAATATTTCCAACACAAGAAAATGTTTATGAAGTATAATTGGTATGCTTAATTCATGATAAATATTTGGAAATCCCAAAGTCCCAAAAGTTAGATTTCTTTCACTAGTTTTATCTGCACCAACTTATTTCCTTCTTAGATAATATCAGAAAACTTTTAATGAAAATCAAAAGAAAAAAAACTATTATTCTTACTACCATTTTCTGAACCAATTTAAGCTGAATTTCATATAACAACTTTCAATTCAAAAGCATTAACTATAATATATAAAAGAAATAACATCTAAAAATTAATATAATTAGGTGATGTGACCATCTTAATCAAAGTTTCCTATAAACTGCATGCACATCACAAATCAGACCACTCAAAAGCATCTAGCTGTCGTTCTCACTTTTCTGTATTATAAAAAGTTTAGTGTGAAAACCTCGACTATGAACATGTGCATAGTATTTGTAGTGCACACAAATTAATATTAAGTTTTTTATTTGTAAGCTTGTCAAATGATAGTGTTCAGTGGAGTTTGTAGGCTGCTCAATACAAAGATAATTTAAAGAGAGCACTGATTGTCTTGTAACATCATGCAGCAGGCTCATCAAATATTTAGAGGTGACTAAAACCTAACATGTTATATAAACAATCTATTAAAACTTTTATCAACAATACATTCAGTTTTAACATCTTTACATATTTTTCCTGAAAACTTCAAGCCAATATATGGTCAAAAACTTTAGTATCAATTTCCTTTAAAATATAAATTCCTAGAGAAATTATAAAACGTGAAATTTCTCACCTTGTCATGACAATAGATCCAGCAATTTGCTTAGTACACTCGTCTGTATAATTATGGCTTCTGCGTAGTTCATACATTAGATCATACACAGTATCACGTCGAAGGACTTTATAGGTGGTATCTACAACCATCATTACACAATTTTCATGTTGTCGAATAGCAGTGATTACTCCTTGCCACAACTCTATCCTGTATATAGGAATTTAAAGAATGAATTAAAGCACTTTTCACATTACTATCTGAATGTCTTACTGCCAAGCTGCAAATAATATGGCCAATATCTAAAGATCTCAAATAATGTCCTGCTAACTACTTTTCTAATACACTTATTTTTTAGCAGCAACAATCATAAGAGTAATTTATTCAGCTAATATCCTGCCAACAATCCTAACAGTAAATACTTCTAACACAATTTTATCAGCTATCCTAATATAAACCTAACATACAATTTACAGACAAGGGACCTATTGGTCAATTTAAGCCATCCTATCCAAAGCAAGTTAGGTCAGCAACTATATCAGCAATACTAATTCCTGTCAACTAATATCCCATAGTAATCAGTAACTAAATAAAAATATAACAACATCAAATTAGATAAACTACCATCCTATCAGCAGTTAGTAACTTTAAGCTTTAATTATATTAGAAATTCCAGGCCCGGAAATTAAAAACATCCAAGTACAAAACACTCCAAGATACATATGATTCTTGGCTTAGTACTCAATATCCTGCCAACAACAAGTTGTTTGTGTAGGGAAGCACATTACACTAGAAGACTTGTGTATATAGATAGATATATATATATATATACACACACACACACACAAGACAATGATTTGTAAGCATAATGAAATATTTTAATACATACTACATTTTGACAGAGCACTGGTCTGTCTTCTTCAATGCTCTGTCGAAACATGTAGCGTGTATTAAAATATTTCATTATGCTTACAAATCATCGTCTTATATATACATACATACAAACACACACACACACAAGCAACAGTAAGTTATTTAAAAAAATATTGTAACAGTTAAATCCTGTCAGTTAATATCCTACAAAGAGTAACTGAGCCAGTATTGTAATAGGTAACTCTTAGGTACTACCTTGCAAATGGCAACGTTGTCAACTAATAGTAACCTAATAGTCTTCCTAAAGCTTAACTTTAAAATCTTTTTTAACACAACTTGTTTCTTACTCAGATAATTTGAACAAAAACCATGTTGTTAAAACTCTGCTTACCCATGTTGAGGAATTGCAGACACAGAATCAGGATCAAAATAGTGTTGGCCCAAAAGTTGGAATTTCAGATGTTGTAGATTCCTACAAACATACTTGTTTTAGTAAACTTTATAAACTTTAAAATTGCAGCAAGCAGTAATTTATAATACTGAAATTTTCAAGCCACTAAATATTAAAATCTATTTGAAAAAACATTATTTTTTAATTACGTGTGCATATAAAAAAAAACATTTTTACATACCAGTAACCATCTAACAGCATTTATAAATAGATCTTATTTGTACTTTTACTATCAGAGTTAGAAACAATGAAAAAGTTAACACAAGTGTCTCCCACTTGTAGTTTGTAAACCAATGATTTATTATTACACTAATCTATGAATGAAAATTCTGCATATTTACCATTTATTTTAATTACATTTTAACCCTCAAATATAGATATATGTACATTAAGAACTTTTTTAGATGGTTCTTATAAAATAATTTTTATTCAGCACTATACTAGTGTTTAAAATAACTGACAAAACTGTGGATGTTTTATAAGTATTTCACAGTTCATATAATTTTTCACATACAAATTTCAAGGACAACTATTTTTCAAGGCCCTAATTTAGGGAGTTTAATAGTCAATGCAGTAATAACCAACTATAAAATTAAAAAAAAAACTTTTACATTAGCACAAATGATATCAGTACAATTTATTAGCAAAAATCAAGTTATTACAATTTAACAAAAATCAAAATTAAGCCTATCTTTCATGTAAAGATTTATTTATTCATTTTAAATTGAATACTACACTAAGCTATTCCATCAACTACACCGACTCCTTCAGTTCCTTCATTTTTCCACCTCTACAGATTTAAGGTTTTTCTGCTTTTGTTTGGAATTTCTTCTCAAACTGTTCAGCTTCTTATACACTTTACTCAGCTAATTTTAAGAGGCTTAAACATCTTTATCCATTTGTTTCTTTTATTACCTTAATGTATGCAATCTCATTCATCAAAAATTCTTTATGGATATTTTTCTTCTGAGCCTCCTTTTCTCTGCAACAGTACTCCAGATACGTCTATAACTTCTGTCTAGCATTTGCTGCTGAAAGGAGCAACTCACTGAAGTAACTGATGTTAAGCACACCTCCCACACTACGAACATGATTGTGAATGACATGCTGTGCTATCAAGGGCTGCTCAACAAGGTTTTTTTAACCATTTACTTCTGTGTTCCATGAAAACCAGCATTATACTTTTGCTTTTCCATGTGAAAGGATAGGCATGATCTTCATTTTTCCAGGTATGTCAAAATTCAGCTTTGTTAACCAACCAGTCATGGAAGAAATGTCCAATCTTTCAACCCCAAGTCTGAAGTTACTAAAAGAAGATGAATCTCCATAAAATGATACATCATAAAAATTGCTAAATTCCTTCAGATTTCATTACAGTTACTTTCTGGAATACAGCCTACATCAACAAATAGCCAAAGAACACAAGTCAGTTTTCTGTTGCATGCATCTTTATTTGAGATGTAGAAGTTCAGGTTTCTCACCAAAGCCTACTGCAATGGAGATTTCTCTAGAAGTTTAGAAGCAATTTTCAGCAGAAACAATTTGCAGTTCCACCTGAATTTCAAAAGTTGTTTGTCAGATGTTCACTGCTTTCCTTTGAGTTCTATAAGAACTCTTTCTGTTACAAAGCCAACCTTCAGCTTGGACACATCCATGTGGTTTAATGCATTTTGTATGTCAATTTGTAGAAGTTTAAATGCATATAGGGCATTTTCCATCAATCACTTGATCAAAGATGCCTTGTCACTGGAGAGAAATGGTAGCATATTTCATGAATGGTGTAACTTCTCCAGCAATAAAAAAGAAAAAATGTTTAGCTGGCTTTGAAAAAAGATTTTTATTTGTTTTTTAATCTGTAACGTTTCCAGATTTTGCTGCAGTGACAGGATTGGAAGGATTCTCTCAGAAACCTCAATATTTTCAAGCCATCTGTGTCTACAGGGGAAAAGATGTGCAACTTGTCACATTTATGAAGTATTCATTGCGAGCTGGTAAATCTTTAAAGAGAAATCTGAGACTTGAGATGATATGGTTAAATTCTCAATCTGTTGCTGCACATCAACCTCCGAATGAATTGTGCAGTACATGCAAACCACACTAAACATGTTCTTACTTGTTTGCCTTCCAAACAAGGAGTACAATTTCCAGTTAACATTAGGTCCATCCACAGAGTTGCACAAGATTACTGAAGCTCAAGTCTCCACACACACAGTTTCAAATTTTTCAAAAATCTGCTTAGGTGTATGATGGCCCATAAAGCAGGATTTCAGATATTTTGACTAGACATAATTCTCATTAACCCTTTCAAGACGGGTTACAGGTGAAAGGCCATGCAATCTCATTGGCTGACTCGGATTTAAAATTTTATTGAACTACTATTTCATGAATTTATGTCAATAAGTTTGTTATCAAACTGTATTAAATTCAAATTTTAGTATTATGTATTATTTAACTTAAAAGTAAATATTAAAATAAAATCCTAAATATAGATTTTTGTGTCATGTGGTATTTTGAGTGCCTCATTTGTTCAAATTAGGTGTTTGTGATGTCCAACTACAAAGTCAATAGTCTCTTACGAATTACATACTCAAGTTACTGATACTGACAAGCTAAAATATAGAATAAAAACCTCTTATCTTTTCCATTTTCTGAGATTTTAATATATTTATTGAATCAACCAAGGTGGTTCCACCCACCTTTTCAATTTTTGAAAATACTTTCTCACATACACCTACTTTACCCAATGACATGTGTATAACCAATTGAACGCTCAGAATGTCCCTCAAGTGGTTTACTCAGCCTCTGCGAAGTATTTGCATGGCAAACTCTTTCTTTTCATGCTAGATTCCGAGCGGTAAGGTAAGACATTAGTGAGCTTAAGATTTCATTTTTTAGACTCAAATACAGCTTAGTTACTAAGCTTGATAAATTATATTGAAATTCTGTGGTATCGATACAGTAATTTATGACTTTTTGGTTATATCAAAATGTATGTATAAAACCTAAAAAAAAAAAATTGTTTCACATCCTCTACGTGTGAAATTTGATAAGGTTTAGCAACTTACCAGAAGCAGCAAATGAGTACAAGGTTCATAACTAGAAGAGATAATTGTTTTCTATACTTCTTTAGAAAACGTTTGCTCTACGTTTTAAGAAATACAAGTTTAAGATCATATTTGTAAATAGCAATAATGTATATACATATACAATGTATTATAACTGAAATGTGACTGTATTTTACAAAATACTAATCCAGTAAAACACAGCCAAGACAGGTAACCTTGTAAAGACCAGTTTTATACTCCTGGATACAGTAACATGAGTACACGTGCACCACATCATTGCAACTTCTGCAATGTAAGCCAGGCATGGCCGAAAGGTCAATATAATAAATATATATATATATAGATGTATAATGTTATAAGATTTAAGCTATTTAGACTAAACATTTGTGTTTCAGTGTTATAATTTGTAGTCATTCTAGAACAAAAAAAGCATAATTTATATTTATTTCCTATTTTTTTAAGGTCAAATCAACCAAACCCATACAGGGATAAAATATAAAGTTTTTTCTAAAAATATGTTTGATAATTATCTGGAGGCTATAAAGATTTCACATGTGATATTTGAAAATTTTCTGAAGCA